ATTTTAGTCCTAGACTGTCTGACTCTAGAACCCGTAAGTGTGTGTGACACCATTTGGCTTATTCACCAAGCCTTTGTGTCGTCCCATCTGCAACGTTTCTGCCAGATACTCGACTTCCCCCTTGTCTGCACCTGGAATGGGCAGTTTTGCCGAATGAAGCCCATGATGGTGTATTCCCTGTTCAGGAAGAAGGACGCTTTTCTTTGCTGCTTCTGTCCTTCCTCCAAGGCTCCTTAATATAGTCGGCATGGGATGGATGTCTCCTTCCAAAAAGTGTACATTTGCCTCAACCTTCTTGGAATCAGAGGCGGAGATTTGGCTACAACTCTTTACGAAGACTGTAATCCAGCTGACAGTAAGTCTGCCCATTCCGGCACCCTCTTCCTCATCTTTTAACTGGCTCACCCGGAATCCTTGAGGATCCGGAGCAGGAGAACTAGATCTCTGTTGTTTGAAGCCAAAGGCTGTTGTGTGGAACTGGTTTGCTTTCCCATAAAGTCATTGTCCTGGAGTATACACGTACGGACAGGGCGACGTGCACACATACATATATGTTTGAGGTCAGGTTGTCCATATACGATCCATTCCCACGGCCCTTTGATTAAAGAGCGAGAGGACCTACCGTAGGCTCCAGGGTAGGCTCCGAAAAGCCAGCTCAGTCTCCTGGAGAATCACGTTCCAATGATTTCATGGGTAGATCACGTTGGCCCGAAGCACCGCTCAGCCTGTGTGCTCATCACTGCCTCCTTCCTCACACGGAACCCCCCCTTTGCAGGAGCCACAAACACATGAGCCCTAAACACCCCTGGGTTGGCCAGAGCTTCGTCTCTCTGTTATAGCACTGACTTGGGAGTCCGCGGGGGATTTTTTTTTCCCCCCAGGGGAAACCCCCAGCAAGGTACACTAGGAAAGAGCGGGGAAAGCCGGCTGTCTTGCCATGGTGCTTATTTTGGTTAGATGAAGGATAATCCTCATTTGCCGTCTACTTGTCCTGACATCCTGGCAACAGGTCTTGGGTGTTCTAGCTGGTGATGAGCTAAGGGGATGGGCACCGAGCAACCCCTGTTCATGGCACCTCCTCTGAGAGACTCCTTGGAGGGGAGGTGGGAGGGAGAGGGAGAGAGAGGAAGAAAGAGAGAGAGAGACAGCGAGCGTATTTATTTAGGGAAATGTGCATTTGTGAGTGTTCTCCAAGTCCACATTTCACAGTTGGGCCAGAATAATTAGGAGGTACATTGCCATCTGGGCACGTCAGTTCTTCTGTTTGCTCGTTCTGAGTCAGTGCCCATTAATAAAGTCCTTGGTTTGGGTTTGGGATGTCCCAACTTTTCTTTTGTGAAAAAATAACTGTCTGTCTGTCTCTTCTCATTGGGGCTTTATTTGATTTGAGCTGGAATGAGTGAGTTTGTAGGAAAGACCCCTGCGCAGCTGGTGGACCAGGATAGGGGGGAGAGGAGAAGGGGTGGGCGCAGAGAGAGCCTTTCCATGCTTCCTCAGCTAGAAAATTTAAAAAGATAAACAATCCCTAATCCTGACCTGGGGGCAAATCCCAATAAAGAGCCAGGTTAATTTTTCCTGCTGATACAACCCTTGAGTTCAGTGTACGAATTAGATGGTTCTGTGGGCCTAATTTGCCAGATCAGATTGTGTAATTATCTTTTACAGGCCTGGGTGTGATGTATGCCCGGTGTTTATCCTGCAGGGGGCTGAGCGTGTGTTGGACTTAGAGGTGCTGGTCTACCTGCCAGGCTGAGCGGGGGTGGGAGCTGCTGGGCTGTCTGCCTGGTCCGAAGCAGGCCCAGCACACCTGCGTGGACCCGGCGAGCCAGGGATGGAGTCAGGGGAGCATTGCTGGGAGGCACTTAGGGGAAGGCCTTCGGGCTGGACTGGGGGCCTTTGGGAAAGAGCAGTGGCCTTGAGGACTGCCAAAGGCCTTCCACAAAGGATCTGCATGAAGGATGGCGGGTTTGGAGACTGGAAGGAAGTCGATCTCCGAGCTGGATCAGATGCTCATGACCTTAGGCATTTTTGTCATCATGAACTCCTTTCCAACATTGAAAAAATAAATTAAAAATGGCATTTTCTGATTGCAGTGGTGTAGGATGACTGCTGTGCAGGCCGGATTTGTTGAGATGTGAGCTTTCATATTATACTTCTTTTATTCCTTCTAGTTTTATAAGAAATTAGAACATGTTCATGGTTGGGGGTCCTGGGCACTGCCTCCTACGCTCAGTGGGCTTTGGCCTTTCAGTACGTGCCTCGAAATGGGACCCATTGGTTTGGCCTCCTGCCAGCGACTTGACCTGCTCTGTGGAAGTCACGCCCCTCTGACATTGGACCCATCCAGGAGGTCCAAGAATTCTCCCACCTGCAACCCTTATTTTGGCCAAAGAAGGGCTGCTCACTTACAGAGTGGGAGAAGCCCGTGTTTGATCTCGCCTGTATTTCCTGCCCTTCCTCTGCTGTGGTGCGTGGCCTTCTGTTGTCTGAGGACCGACGGTGGTAGTGATGTACTTTCTGGAGAGGCTGCAGGCTGGGGTGGGACTGGACGAGCTGCAGGCCAGTGTCTTCTTGTGGCCTTGCCTGCTGGGCCTTTTGATCCTCCGTCGGAGGGATCCCGGGGGAGCAGCCCCTTCCATCTTGGCTGGAGGTGGTGAGGCCAAGAACCCCTAGGTGCTGTTTGGCTCAAGGCATCCCTGGAGACCCCCGGAAGGAACCAGTCAGGGTGCAGGCACAGAGGGAAGGGAGGGACCTTTGGGGGGCCAGCTGTGGGTAGCCTGTGGCACAGCGGTTTGGTGCCAGGCGTGGCCTGCTGCCATTGGCCTGTTCCAAGGGAGTGCCGTCCGCTCCGGGTCCTGCTGTGGTCCACACTAGGCACGGAAGGGCAGCGGGGAGGTGAGTGTGCAGGGCTCCGCGTGGCAGATGCTGAGCCAGTGGGCCGGGAGAGGCTGTATCCACGGGCCCCCAGGCTTCCTGGAGGCCCTACAGCCTGCCTGCCCTCGATAAGCCTGTGGACACAAAAAGCAGAGGGGAAGAGCCCCGTTCATGTTAAGGAACAGAGCAGAAAGAAACCATTCTGTTGATTGCACTGCTTCCCAGAGTATGTGTTAGGCTGGGGCTTGGATCCAGGTGGGGGATGGAGGCAGAGGCGCAGCTCTCCTGGGATGTGAGTGACTGTCTCTCACCGTCCGGCACTCCACAAGTCAGCTGGGCAGGTCTCAGGGCCTCATGGACAGGGGTTGGGGAGGGTCGGGAGGGTGGAGTGGGATTCGTTTGCCTGAGGTTTCAGGGGAACCGGACATAAGGCAGGTGTTAGAGGGCACCCCTGCTAAGCCGGGGCCACCCAGAGCGTGCTTTGCTGGCCACCAGTGCTGGGCTTACCCAGGAGCTGGTAAGAGAGGCAGGATCTCAGGCTGCCCCCTCAGAGCCATTGATTTTGAATTTTAAAAGAATCTCCAGATGGTCCTTACATTTCAATGCATGTTAGACTTACCTGGGGAGCTTCAGTTCTTTTTAACCCAATACTGAGTTTCTGGCAATCAGAACTGCTGGGAATGAGGTCTAGGCTTCAAGATGTCTTTCAGGCTGCCCAGGGGAATGGGGAACAGTGGTTTCAGCAGGTAGCCCAGTCTGGGAACCTGGACAGTGAGAACCCTTCCTCTCCTCCAAATCTCCCCCTACCCTAGGGTTTTCCACTTCCCCACTCCCCGAGGTCTGCTTGCTTTGGTTGGACTGAAATGTCTTGGGTCTGGGTAAGCTTAGATCGACTTGTGTCCAATTTCCTATTTCCCCTGGAAGGGTCAGGCTACAGTCCATTCCATTCAAGGCTTTAGCTTGAATGAGGTTATGCGATGTTCCGCACCTAAGAGACTGAACCTGGGCTGGGTGTGGGGGTGGCCCTATATAAGGCAGTAACAGGAGTGGGAATCCGTTCTGCTGCCCGACTTGGCGTTGGAGGGTGTGTGGTGGTGGTGGGCATTGGCTGGTGGGGTTGGCCACAGAGGACCAGCCTGGACCTGGTCCTCCATAACTCTAGAAACCACGGGAGTGATCCAAGCCCCAAGATGATGTCTGTGTGCATCCAGGGAAAGAACAAAACGCCACCCAAACAATCCTCTCCCTTGTGAGTGAAGGTGACAAGTTTTCTGTTTCAAATCTGATGGTATTATTTTTCCCCTTTTTTCTTCTCTCTGTTTTCATTTGCCAGCCTAGGGGTCCAGAGTGATTTATTTGAGTCTAATGATGGGGAAGCTTAGAATGGGGCTATTATCTTAAACACCTTTTGAAATACTACCCTTCCTGGTGTCTGAATCAGGTTGGACAGAGGTCGGATTTAAAGATTAAATATCTATTTTAGCAGCAGCGGCAACTCTGCTGGTAACCTCGTGCCTTTGCTCAGGAATTACAGGGATGACACGCCTTAGCCTTGCACTCCAGAAACTCACGCAGGAGGCAGGGAAGGTATAGCTCATAACGATAGGGACTGGGCACCGAGCTAGAGGTTCCTCATGGGCAATCCATGTCATGAACTCAGACGTGCCATGTGTTCAGAACATAAAACAATTCAGATACAGTGTCATAAGAGTCTTTGAGGAAAGGAGCCCCCAAAACAGAACAACTCAGGACTGTGGCAATAGATTATTATTTTTTGGGGGGGGGTGTACAAGCCCACTGTAAATTTAAGTTTTAACTTGAAAAAAATTGCTATCCAATGTAACATTCATTCCATTTTCTTGTAGATCTACTTATTAGAATGAACATCTGTATTTCTTTGAAAGTATCCTTCCAGTTTGCCATGTCTGTGACTGACAGAGGACATGGGTTTTTGCCTTTGTTCAGAAGGAAAGTAGTTTTATTCTATATTAAAGACTAAACACTTATTAAACGCCTATGTCCCTGCAAGGTTGTCGGGCATTCGGGGACCACTCCCTCTATATTTTAAGTTTGCAGATGAGTTTTACTCTGCTGTTTCCTGGCATAACTCTCCCTTCTTTTTCTAGGTGAAATCAGAGCTTTGAGGCTGACCTGGGGAGGTGCTCCGAGCCAAGAAAAGAAGGACAAGAAAGAAGGTGAGTGGCAGCCGGTAATCAGAGCAGAGCCACACCCCTGCTGCTTGTCTCACTCTGGGGGTTTTTATTCCTTCTGCAGCCAACCTCCTTTTTCCCAGACACCCCTCCTGCTCCCGCACCCGCCTGCTAGCCCAGAGGGCTGACTGGCAGGCAGGAGCCTTGCAGTTAGCTGTCGGAGAAGGTCCAGAGACACAGGTTAATAAATACTAACAGTCTTGCAGTGAATTCCAGGCGGGCTGGGTTCTCACGGCGTCTACCTGGGTGAACTCGTTCTCACCTCCCGAAATGCCAGCAGGGGAACGTGTCATACCCAGCCTACAGATGAGGAAGCAGAGGAACGCTTGCTCACCCGGGGTTGCCTTCTATCGCTGCCTACCTTCTCTCGGCTGCTGACCTTCACTTCCCTAGCCCTCAGTTTTCCCATCTGTAAAATGGGGACAATGAAAGATCCGTCCCTGCCATGTCGTGGCACGAGATGAGAGGATACAGTGTGAAATGCCTGGCACAGTGCCTGGAACGGACAAAGAACACAGTGAATGTCAGCAGGTGTTTTTTTTCCCCTCGTTAGCTCCGGATAGGATCTTTGGTGAATTGTTAAGCTTCTGTTTCCTCACCTAGAAGATGCTGGTGCTGATACCTTGTCCTCAGGGGAGGTCGTGAGTTACGTGGGACAATACAGTGGATACCAATGAAAGTCTAGACCACGGCAGATGCCCTGTCTCTTCCCTTCCTTACGTATCTTATTCCGCATGGATCAGGCAGAAGGATGATGTCCAGTGGTGTTAACGCCTCCACCCCCTAGAACACTAAATCCTGGCAGTTGCCCCCCGGTGACTTTTGGTATGATCCTTCCCGTCCCTTCTCCCAGCCACACTGTTGATCTTGACTTTGGTCGCACAAGCTGGGATGCTCATGAGGGGCTCCGACCTTTGGAATTTCTAGTCTTTCTTTCCTAAAATGATCCTGCCTTTGTCTTCTTGAAACTTCTTTCTTAAATCCAGTATTCATCCTGCCACTTTCTGATTTAAAAAAAAAAAAAAAAAAGGCAAAAGAAAACCAAAAAGCAGCCTTGTCCTGGTTCTCTCCCGGTTTATCCCAGCAACCAGATCTCACAGGACATTTAATCTTAATTCCTCCCACTTCCCACCCAAATTTGGATCCTCACAGCCAAACTGACCTGCTGTGTATCCTCCCCACCCCCGGAATCTGGAATATTTCTACACGTTGTCTCCGTGCTCCGTGCTCTCCCCCCTGGCTCTCTGGTGTGGGTGTCCGGTGGGAGGCTGGGCCTGGGGAGGAGTCCGTTGGCGAAAGGTTCCTTGGTGGCTGCATGTGCCCGGGTGACTGGCAGGCTGTGTGTGAGTTGGGGCAGGGACGGGACTGAGCGATTCCAGGGGACTTTCCAGGCCAGTGTGGGCACTGCCTTAGGGAACACAGCACCCTCTGCCTTAGTCCGCCTTCTCCCTTCCCTCCCCAAGGGGACCTCAGCCTGAAGTTCATTCCTTAAGATACACGGCCCCTTGCACCCATGGGAATGGCCTAACAGAGCGTTATTAGAGGCTCACTGCGTGCTAGGACCGTTCTAGGCGGAGAACACCATCTTGCTGTCATGGGACTGGCCTTCTAGTGCGGGAGAGTGGCAAAGAGCAAAATAGTATATAGGTTAATTAGCTTGTACATAAGGTGACAGTGTTGTGCAAGACAGCAGACATGGGGGCACAAAGGCAGGCCCCGTGTGCGGGGCAAGGAGGGGAGGGCTGGGTGCAGTGTTGAACGGAGCAGACACCTCACTGAGGAGGTGACCCCTGCTCACACGCTCCAAGGATCCAGCCCGTGAACACGCTGGGGACGAGGGTTCTGCAGAGGGAACAGTGACATTCAGGCTGAGGACAGGAGCACGGTGGGATTGGAATGAGGCCTAGGCCAGGGAGAGCCTGAGTGGCAGGGTGGTGGCAGGGGTGGGGGGAAAGGGGGCGTCAGGCTTTCCCAGTGAGGGAACTGGGAGCCACAGAAGGATTCCGAGAGCAGTGAGACAAGTGTGCTGCGGTCGCACTTCCTGGGGGCTGGTATGGAGACAGGAGCAGAGCAGCAGAGGGCCAGTGGCCCGCGGGGAAGGGGCATTGAGGTGCTGGGACCTGTCGGGCCTGATTCCAAGTATGTGACAACGGATGGCATTTCCAGTGGGGATGAGCGGAGAAGCTTCCCGGCTGTTCCTCAGGGCATGAGTCTCAACAGCTGTGGTTGCCTGATTTAGGATGGCCTCTTGCATGGGGTGGTGGCGGGACTCTCTGCTCCTCCCTGCCTGGGGGGCCTCCGGGCCTCAGTCGGCCCTCGCTGGGTTCAGCAGCAAGGAAGAGAAGGGAAAGGGGAAACAGAAGGGAATCGTGGGAAATTACGGGAGGAGGGAGACCAGAGGCTCTAGCTTTCCTGTTGTTCTCGTTGTGGGGAGGGTAGTTCGGGGGGGACGGCCGCCCTCAGGGATGCAGCTCGAGGCCATCCCTCATGGTGTCCCCACAGCCCTGTGGTGGGGGCCACGCGCTCCCTCCGCAGCCTCCTTGCCTCGGCCTCATTGTCCTCCTCCTCTGACCATAGGGAGCTCCACGGTTGCGGGAATGTCCTCCTTTGCCGTTTGTCCTTCCCATCCTGCAGTCGCCGTGACCGTCCAGGTGGGGCCGGCTCAGCGTGCCCCAGAGCTCACGCCCAACAGACATTTCTTTCCCAGAACGTTTCCATGAGGACCTGGTCGTGGTGCTTGTTAGCTGATGTCCTGTGAGCTGACATGCACTGAAAACTCCAGTCCGTCAGGCCACACGCCTCCTATTCCCCAGCAAAGCCTTAGCCGAGTGTGCGTGCCCTGTCACACACGCGTGCCAAGGACAGGACAGTGAGCAGGGTGAGGTCTTCACCTGCATGTTTCTCCCAGGCTCGAGTGTGTTTCTGAACGACTTTGCTGAGCTCCTGAGCGCTGCTCTGCTGGGGACTCTTTCCACCCGTGGCTGTGCTCTCCTCTGCTTCCAGGCCAATGGCCCCTGGGGACGTGGAGCAAGATGGTGGCCTGGTGGCTGGGCCCACAGGGCCATCGTCAGAAGCAGCGACAACACGGTGGTACCAACGGGCGCGGATTTAGTGTCCCTCCTCTCAAAGGCCTGTCCCGGTCACTGCCTTTTGGCCCCTTGGCATAAAGAACGATGAAAAAGCCTGACACCCAGGGAGGACACCCTCTCCCCTACCATCCATCTGTTGTGTGTGTGTCTATGTATGCATGTGTGTGTGTGTGTGTGTGTGTGCGCGCGTGTATGTGTGTGTGTGCGATGGGCAGGGCGAGCGGCTGTGGCTGGGATGAGGATTTCTGCCCTAACCATAATTGAGAGTGAAACGCCGGGGTTCTGGGAGAAAGAAGCATGTCCCAGTTCTGAGCGGCAGCACGGATGACCTCACCCGGGGGACGAGAGCCATCCAGAGGACTCGCAGATGGAACTTCCCCTCAGGGTCCAAATGTGAGTCACCGTGGCTCGCGTCTGGGCAGCAGGCTCCGTCCCCAGGCCTCCCACTTCACCCCGGGACGTCGTGGTCACCGCACAGGCCCAATGACTCACTCGGGCTCCCCAAGTCAGCCCCCAGGGGTGGAGCCTTGCTCCCCTCTGGCCTCTGTCCCCTCGGCGCTGGGGCCCCGGACACGACGTGCAGGATGCGTGTGGCAGGGAGAGGCCCTTACGGCCTGGGTGTGTGCGCCATGGCCACGGCTGCCAAAACTGATTTCAAAATTCAGTTTGGAAAGTCCGGGGGGCTCCCTGGGGCACACAGGGCTGTAGCTGTGGTCTCAGAGCCCTGCGGATGGGCTGCACTCTGACTCCTGAGAGTGGGGGACACGTGGCCACCCGCCCCCAGGGAGCGCCCTGTCACCCCATCACCTCCTCCAGACAAGGGGAGGTCATCCAAAAGGCGGGGGGGGGGGGGGGGGGGGGGGGGGGGGGGCGCTGGCGAGGTGTCAGGTTTCCCACCACGCCTGCATGCTGCCTCTTCTGTCCTTCCCCCTCCCCGACTCCTCGCTCTCCATCTTCCGATGCTAGAAACAGTGTCCTCTCTTCTCAACCTGTCAGTCTCGCACCTGCCAGGAGCCCCTGGCAGTGAGACGCCTAGCGAGGTCCAACCTGAGCTCATCTGTGTTTAGCATCCGTTTTGGGAACCAGGTGGCGGGAAGGACTTTGTCAGGATTCAACAGGAGTAAATCCCCAGACCATTTCAGTGAGGTTTTGGGGTTTATTGTTTTTTTGTTGTTTTGTTTTTAATTTTTCATATTTCTCTCTCTCTCTCTCTGTCTTCTTGTATGGTAGGAAGATACCATACAGGAGTGGGGGGTGAAGGGTTCCCTGACGGTTTGTCCTTCCAGGCAAGGTTTATTTAATATGTGTCCCCAGAGCCTATGGAACCTGCTCCTGGTCCTGCCAGGCCATACCTTTCTCCGACCCGATGCAGCACGCAGAGAGCATGGCCACAGTCATGGGACCCAGTTTACCACCCCAGAGCCTCTGTCCTTCCCCAGAGTGGTGGAGCTAACATGGCTTCACAGTTTCGTCCTTTGGCTCCTCGTTGAGAACTTTCCACGTCCAGTCTTCCTTCGTTTGGCAGTGGAGGGGTGGGAAGGTGTGAGAGTGCGCTTTCGGGTAACGGTCTGAGGCGACAGGGACCTGACCCAGCATCAGGCCCAGGGGACCACCTGTCCGGCACCCGTCTCAGACATCTCTCCAGACTCCCTGGGCCCCGGGGTCACCATCCCTGCTGAGGGAGTGGGTGGGTTGGGGGCAGGGCAGAGGCTGGCTCACGGGGACACTGTGTGGCCCCGGCCGTGAGGGTCGACTTCGCAGGGCGCAGCTGATCAGAGACGAGGGGGTCGAAGGCGTGGGCACGAATGCGCCTTGGCCCAGGTGTGAGAACGTGTACGGAAGGCTCGGCCTCCGGGTGACTCAGTCTACAAGCAAGCTATGAAAGGGAAGTGACTC